TGGATAAGCTTTTCATTAATTATCGCAAATTGATTTTTATTATTATATTATTTAAACTTCATCTAAAATTAAGAATTCATTGAGAATAAAGAAATAAAAATGCATTTTCAAGGATACAATAAATATATGTACAAGGAAGAACTTCCTTCATTTAAAACACTACAAAAAGAAAAAATTTTGTATCTTGTTTCTATTTAAGCCAAGTAAATTTGTTTCTCATAACCCGGCCGGGTCAATTTTTGCATACCTTTAAAAAATTTATATTTTATTTATTGTAAAAACTTCCAGGTAGAATTGTTTAAAAATTGATAAAAATTTATGTTTTTTATATTTTTTGAGACAAAAATTATAGAAAATAAGTCATTTTTAAAATTTTTATGTAACGAAAACCAAAAATTAATTTTGTATGCCTTATAAGGGAAGGGCCAGAAATTACGTGATTATCTCATCAATTGAGGCTCTCCCCTCCCGGTGATACTATAAGGACACATGACTTTTATATAAAGTCACATGAACGTGATTTCTGAGACCATTTTAATCACATAATTTCTGGCCCTTCCCTAAATTTGAATCTAAAATTTTATAATAATTTTCAAGAATTAAATTCATTCTCTGAAATAACTGACCTATCAATTAAATAAAAAAAAATTAGTTATTATAAGAATTTCTAATTGCAGAACGACCAATGATTAATTAATATTTACTTATTGAAATTGTAAGGCTAAATAAATGTGATCCTATATATTCATTTATAGATGTTCTTGATATAGAGATAGTATTCGTTATAGTATCCGTTATGATATGTAATAAGTAATCCGTATTGCTTCCGCGAAAAATTTCTGGTGCAATGTAAGAACTTACACCAAAAATTTCCCCTTTACAACTAAACTCCTTTGTCAAATGAACCAAACCCAAGTCGGCTATTTTATGCTTCTTTTTTGGTGAACGATTATTCTCTGAAATAACTCCAGCTTTCCAGTTGGATGCTATCAATTAAATAAGAAAATTTTGTTATTATAAAAATTTCTAATTGCAGAACGATCAATGATTAATCAATATTTACTTATTGCAATCGTAAGGCTAAATAAATGTGATCCTATATATTCATTTATAGATTTTCTTGATATAGAGATAGTATTCGTTATAGTATCCGTTATGATATGTAGTAAGTAATTCGTATTGCTTGATTCGGACAATATAATTTTGGGCAATAAATGTTTTTTCTGTAGTTTTTTATACTCTTTATCAGCAGCTTGAAATCCATATGTGTCAGTTTTCATTTGCATAGACACATGCCAAGCACTTATATGATTGTGAACTTCTTCGGCAAATGGACGATTAAGAGGATCCGAATCCCAACAACGTTCCATTAACTTGACATAGCATTCGGGAATAATTCCACTTGGAATTTTAGGTCGCAAACCATCACAAATTTCAAATGTAAGATAGTTATTATCCGCTTTACCAGAAAATGGAAGTTTGCCGGTTGCCATAATCCAGAGTATCATGCTAAAACTATATATATTCATTGCAGGTGTATAATTTCTTCCGCGAAAAATTTCTGGTGCAATGTAAGGTTTTACACCAAAAATTTCCCCTTTACAATTAAACTCCTTTGTCGAATGAACCAAACCTAAGTCAGCTATATATGTCAAATGTTCTCCAGTTTCAGTTAAGTGTTTTAATATATTTCCAGGATGAAGATCGCGATGAATAAGATTATTTTTATGAATGAAACATAAGCCTTTAATAATATCTAGCAACATTTTCAGCTTTTTATTCCAATCCAGATTTGTGTAGTTTTCATTTAACGTTAAATAATTTCTTAAATTGTCTTGATTCGCGTAACACGTTACGATCATGTGATCGTTAGTTTGTGGATCTTTTGTAATACCGTAACAGCGTGTGATTTGACTGCAAGACAAACAAGTGTAATGCGTTTCAAGCTAATATAAAAAATTTAGATTATGTAAGTATGAATTATTAAAATAAAATGAGATTTAGGATAATAAATACCTCGTGCATAAACATCTCATGTTTTAAAGGTCCCGAATCTAACTGCTTAAGGGCAACCTCTGTCTGCCCAGCTCTCACCCATTTATTTTCTATTTCATCATACCTAGAAAAAGGCCCTTCGTCCCATATTGCTGAGTATACTGTTCCAAATCCTCCTTTTGTAATTTGTTCTACTTTTGAAAATTTTTCGAATGGAATAAATTCGAAAAAATCATGATGATTTGAAGACTTTAATTGTGTCTCTCGTATATATTTATCATAGTCTTCATTTCCACTGGTCCATTCACCATATTTTATAAATTCACACACACACCAGTATTTGCTTGTGAATTTTTCGCCACAATGTGGGCAGATTTCTGATTCTTTATCTCAAAAGGAGTCTCCATATTTTGAAAAAGTAATAAATTATTTGGTTTTTAGAGTACATCTTTTATAGGGCGAAATGAATAGAAATGAAAGGAAATCCCGCCGAAGTTATTTGTATGACTATTTTTCTTATGTTTAACGGGATCTTCGGATTAATGGAGAATTTTTAAACCGGAGATAGTTTGCCGCAATTCACAAATTTTCGATAAGAAAACTATGGTTACATGTACCATTTTTAGAACAATTAACTTAGCGGGCGTAATTCCCAAATTTTCTTTTTAGAACAAACGTCACTCGATCATTATTTACTTAATACATGTACATGTAGCGGTAGTTAATAATTGATTTGCGTGCCAGAACATTGTAACACTTCACAATTCTAGTAATAATTATAAGCATCAACATTAGAAATTATAAATCCGTGACTTCCTTAGTAATACTCGATACAAATAATATTATCTCTTTGGACTAATGTCCAACACTAATTCTTCCATGCCCCTTGTAAAGTTTATTTATTATGACTATCAGCTTCAGATCGAAACATACATTTCTGGTCATGTCTAGCTATCTATATCGATGTTTCAATATTCTCTTGCTAATGTCATACTGTGTTCGACCTTATTGCAGAAATAGAGTTAATATTAATCAAGTTGTATATAAAGGTGGGAGGTTCAACTTTAGACATCATGCTCTAATCAAAAATAAATAAAAACAAATTCTTACTGTAATTATTTTGCTTGTAATAACTATTTTCCCTTATTTGATTATCTTCAAACGTAGTGAATGACCTTCACTCATAATTCGACTTTGATTCTGTTGGCAAAAACTAAGTTCAACCTTCGATTTTGAATAGTGTAATTTTGAAACCATCTGGGTCGTTGCTCTCGAATTAACCTTTGTGATGCGCGTAATTTTGTTGTAGGTGATCAGAAATCTTCTCGAAACCCTTGTAGCCTAGTGTAGACTTCCCTTTTTGTTGCTGGTAATCAGAAATCTTCTTTGATTCCCTCTAAATTAAATAATAAATATTTGTAAAGGTTGGTTCGCGTACAAATTACCATAGGAAACCTTTAGAACAATGAAGAAACCTTTTAATTGTAAAAAATTCAGTCTTGCTCTAAAACTTACCTTGCTGCACTTGCCCATTAAATCTGTTAACTCCAAGTGCACAGCAATAGTAATAAAATAATAATTATAGCCGAATTAGCGGGGTAAATTTAAAAAATTTACTCATTTTATCCAGTGAACTCAAAGATGGGATGAATGTTGGCGTTGTCAAGAAGATTACTTCTACTGCGATGAGTGTTTAATTCACAATACTCATGTAATTGTCAAAAGAAAGATGAGCTCTGCTATTCCTGTCTTTTATATCACAAACGTATAATGATGAATTATCTAGCGAATTATACGAACGGATTCCTTTTAAAGATTTGTCAACGTTAAATATGAAGTTTTGGGTCAATTTATAAAGCATTCTGGAGGAAGAAAAGTCGTGTTGAAGTTATTACACAATTTTAAAGCAAATTACTCAAGAGTTTATACGCGATATAAAGAAAGAAGATTTTCTAAAGCGAAATTTGCCTTTTTTATACAAGTTTTACTACGAATAAATATTCGATAATGATTGTTAGAATCGGAGACAAATTTTGATTGGTCCAAATTTCGGTTATCGGTTTAAAATGTATCTAACATAAAACTTCGGTTTAACGGGGTATTTTAAATATATTTGATGGCGTTTATTAAAAAGGTTCAGTTTAACGAGATATTCGGTGTAGCGGGGTCCGGTTTAACGGGGTTGCCTTTGTATAATTTTGAAATGTCTGTAAAATTATTTTATCTTTCTCAATCTCGCCATCAATAGAAAGCATAATACTTTTGCTCGAATGTCTCGTCTCTGCGTCAACACTACTCATCATAACAATCGGTGACGTTAGCGTAGAACTCCCTTCCTCTATTCCATCATAATCGCATATCTTCCTCGCATTTGTACGATAACTCTCCGCATAAGCGTTTTGCTCGTTGAACTCATGCGTGGCAAACTCTATCAACTCCTGGAACTCGGCCGACGTAAACCCATTCGTGTCTCGAGGGATCGTATTAGTGAGACAAAAATTTGTGATTAAGATGCCAAAGTTATCTCCATTAGCTTTTGGGAGATTTTTAATTTATTGCCTTTTTTAACAATAAAGCAAAAAATAATACGTCAATCAGGAATCTTTCCAAATACATGTGCATGAACTTAAAATTTTTAAATTTTTATAGTAGTCCGTTATAAAAAGCATAGCGAACTCTATAAAATATCATGAATTTTTATAACGAACTTTTTTTAGTTTTAGTAGAATTACTGGTCTGTTATAGAAATGGTCGAGAATTATTAATTATGAATTATTTTTTCTTTGATGCGCACAAAACAATAAAAATAAAAAAACGCGCACACATATCGATATATATATGAAGAGGCTAAATAGTTTTTGACAAAAAAATCATTTGACGATCACAATTTTTATTAGGAGATGAAGAACCAACACTATTTAATTTTTAGACTGGATTTGCTCGAGTTTATAACCGTTTATTTACACATTTTCGCATAAAAATCTATGACAATTATATTTACAGATTCAAGTTTCTGGCGATACACATACCAACCAACTACGTTCCACACCATCCGATTTTGAAAATACCAATTCTCGCAAATTCACAAAAGTTTCAAAGTAATCAGACGGAACACGTCGCGAAAACGAACATTTCGTAAACACTAATGTCTGTAAAGTATTCGAATGTTGTCGTAATGCGAATAAAACTTTTGTTAAATCTTCATCACGTGCAGATTCTATCCAAAAATTTTCTAAATTGCGCTGTGATTTAATTAATGTGATTATCATGTCCAAATTTATTGTTGTGCAACTGTTGTTATCAGGTGGGTTCGGTATATAGTGATTATGCAATAATGGTTTAAATAGTAAAGAAATCGAGTAAATTTTTTTTTGATATCGTGAGATTGTTTGTATTATGTCATCTGCCATGCTTATGAATAAGGGGTTTTTTGTGAATATGGTTTCTAGACCAATTTGTCGGAAATTCGTTGCACGATTAATAAACATTTTTATAAATATTTGAAATGTTTGGATTTCTTCGCATGCTGTCGATTTTCCTCTTCTATTTAAAGGCTCAAAAGTAGATTTTATGGCACTAAATAATGAAGTGTCATTTAAAGTTTCCAAGTATCTCTCGTATCGCAATGTCGGATGTGACAAATCTCTACGATTAATGCAGATAATCAGTTGACGTAGGATTACATGATCTTTAAAAGGAAATAAAATTTTGATTAATGCTGATTTTTCCTCGGGTAATAAACACATTGTGTATGTTAAAATTAGACTTTCTTTTCGACGATTTTGATTATTATTACTGGAATCAATTTTAAGAAGTATAGCAAATGGATTCCTCCAAAATATTCGTGAAGAAGTACGATACCAAAAGCGGCTAACAAATAAACAATTTTTTAGTGATTTCCAATCATTCTGCAGTGGTTCAAGAATATGGGTAAGTAGGTCAGCAGGAAGAGATTTCATTATTTTGCAGTAGAAATACTAATTATTATAGTTATTATTTATCGTTAGCAAGGAAAATTCGAGGGAAGAAAATATTGATTATTTCTTCAAAACGAAAACCTTTTAAATAACCAATAAAACAAATTTCTTTATGTTATTGATGCACTTGATACCGTATTTTAGCGAAATAACGCCCACCTACGCGTTATTTTGAGTACTTTATTTCGAGACAATGAGTCGGCTTTCTGCTAAACCTTATTTGTACATGTGTGTTGTACATGGATATCAAAATAAAAATCATACCGATGCATGTATATACATGTACTTTGTATGAACTTTTTTCACTTGCATTTATGTTGCTTTGCTTGACATATTGTTAAGTCTTCTTTTTCCTGTTTTTTTCTTGTATTACACGAAAAACATCCATAATATAAAATATGTTCATTATTTTTTTTTGTTTGTCTCGCGTACAAGTTTTGCTTTATTTTCAAGCGAACACGAGCAAAAACGAAGTTATACTATCGTGTTAAACTTGAGGTAATTTCTACATAAAACTTCTTTTATTTACAAACTCGACCGGAAACTGGTTCAAAAATGACGCCATCAAAAAAAAAAGAGTTCGAGACTACATTAAATAATATGCAATTTATCAAGTTTATCAATGGTATGTAGGGGTTGCGCGTTATTTTGTGACACCCATGGCGTTATTTTGAAACCATAAATAAAGAAACACCATGTTTTTTAATATGGAATCTTAACAATGAGTTTTTTTCCTGAATTGATCTCTAGATGCTGAATAGCCCTATGCATTGACCGAAAATTTTCCTTTTTAGAGTAACATAACGTAGTAATCTAAAAGTTAATGCATGTATATGTATTCTGAAAAAAAGCGACAACAAAGACCGTTTTGATTGTAAAGTAAAAAAATTCTCCCACGCTTTAAATATAAAAAATGGAAATTTTCAAGCTATATACATGTGCATATTCACATTTCTTTTAGTAATTATTTCTAACTTTATACATTTTAAAGTTAATCAACTGTAGCTTCAAAAGTCTTCCTGTCTGTGAGTGACTTAAGATGCAAGAACTGTAAATTATGAAAATTTTTTATATATATCTTACTGGACGATTACTTTATGAGAATACATAATAAGAAAATAATTATTTCAAAAATAAAAACCTGAACTTTTTATGTCAACTAATATTTATTATCTTTACACAGTACATGTATTAGTATCATTCTCATGTGTACACATATATTTAAATTATCGGTATACATGAGACTCAACAACAAATCATGTAATTTCTCGACCTATAGTGCAAGACACTTAAAGACTAGGAATTTTATGTGACGCTCAAGCAATTTTCAGCAATGAATTAACTCCATATACAACTGGGCGCGTTTCCCGTACAAATGCGTACGAAATTATCATATAAAATTTAAATATTCCGTATGCTTTTCAGATGCAAATAACGGGCACATACTCTTATATTCCGTGCTCACCTCTTAAAAAATTCTGTATGATTTCCAAACGTAAATTATATTATATATTCCGTGCGTATCTATTAAAATTCCATATAATTTCTAGATGCAAATAATGATAAATTTAAGAAAAAGCAGACGCATTCTTAAAATTGCTTGCCCGTTCTATATATATGTTGTTTTTTTTATTATGTAAAATTCCCAATACAATACAATCTTGAAAATCACAGACGCATTCTACATGTATATATATATATGCAATCTTTGCATATACCTTATATATATTTCTTATGATCCTATTCTGATCGCTTTTTTGTGCTACCTTTACCATGATTCTAGCCACGGGACACGTTGCTTCAGATTGTTCAAAACTATTGGCTTCCGCAGGATCTTGCGAAGTTGTTTCCTTGCCAGATCCTGTTAGAAAATATAAAATAATTAGCACTTAATAAACACAAACAAGATCTTCAACTTATGAAGCAAAGTGCCACAATATTTGTCTTTGATGACTTTGATGAGCCGGAAACAGTTGTTTGTAAAGGCAGTATTTTTCAATTTGGGGCTTGACTACCTTGGAGATGAAATTTTGTTTTACTTGGATTGCAAAAGGTAAGTTTGGTGATATATTAGAAATAAAAATAAAAAATAATAATAAAATAGTTACATTAAGTTGTTTGATAATTCGTTCAGAAACTTTTGTAACAAATGTAAGTGGAATGTCAAAAAGATGTGTTCCTGTAATAGGTACATTAAAGATTTGTTTGATATGTTTGACGAACAATATCATATTGATTTTTTAACCATATTATCATCAAGATCTTGTTAAAGCAGGAAGTAATGAAGTAACAGAATAGTAACTTCTTCAAACTTAATGCTCACAAATGACATTTTAATAAAGTTCAAATTTTGAAAAGTGTGTATTATTCAAACGCGTAAAATTTTAATCTGACCTGATTATGTATCCACAAATACTAAGCTTCCGAATGCTGATACCCCAAAATCCTGACTTTCCAACATCCCAACATTCCCTAAATTCAAAATTCTCACAGGGATGGAGGAGTTCGACTTGGTTTAGTTTTGTGAAAGTTTGGTGTGGGTTGGTTTTAGTTGATTCAAATCTGATTTAGATTATGTAAACCACATCTACATTAAACCGGTTTTTAAAAGTTAAAGCTTCAAATTCAAAATAAAAAATCAACGTCTTAAATCAAGTTTAACTTGGTCTTTGAAGATACTTCCCCATCCCTACCAGACACCCAAAATCCAGACGTTCCGACATATCTAACTTTCTGACGCCTAAACTCATGACACTCCAATGTTCTAATGCATACAGATTACGTATACCGGAATATAAGCAACGTCCCCATATTGATTTTTCACCCTCGCTAAAAAAACACATGATTATATACCCTATATGCGTATTAATAAATTCGATGAATTTTAATGTTAATTTTCAATAATTTAAAACTATTATGAATCATTTCTACAGGTATATCATCCCAAACTTCTAAAATCCATCTACAAACTAAATCATAATTAGGTTTTCGTAAATTTCCACCTTTAGTAAATGTATATTGCTTATTTTCCATCCAATTCTGCCATTTTTTATGCATTCTATCTTAAAGAGTTTGTTAATACAAACATCTAATGATTGAACAAGTGATGCAAAACCACCAGGTATAATAGCCAAATCAATATTATTTTATTGCCATTTTTCTTTACAAATCTTGTTTTATGACCTTGAAAACTACCTATTATTAACAATGATTTTTCATTAGTTTAAAATAATTTTTCCATCTTTCTTGAAGCCAAGCTATCATTAGATTTTCATCCATCCAACCATTTTCTTGTATTCTAACTATAATATTAGGAGGAACAATTTTTTGCCTTTAAAAATCACCATAGATTTAAGTTTAATTCCATTAGCAAGAATTGTTAAAACACATGTAAAATGATTAGTATCATTTCCTGTAGTGCAAAGTTGAATCATATGCATGCTTTTTTTTCTATTGTCAAATTACCAATCATATCATTGTATGTTTTAATAAATGTATTAAATAATTCTAATTTTGAAGAAAGATCTCTAGGTAATTTTTGTCCAATTTTTGTTTTTTGATGAATAGAAAGATTATAATAATTCATAAAGTCATAGAGCTATTTATAAGATGCTGTGAAGAAGAGATTTTATTTTTTGTTGAACCATATATGTTGTAATAGCAAGTCCATCTTGACATAAAATTTCAACCCATCCCATTTATTAATTCTTCTTCAACATCTGGATATAAAGATTTTAAACCAGCACCAATGCAGTGATTTTTAGATTTAGCTTTTGATAAAGCTGATTCATTTTTACATCATTTTGATATTTGTGCAAAATTAATTTCATATTTTTGTTGAGCATTTTGTAAAGTATTTTGTTTAAAATATGAAGTTTTTCTCTGGCTGTATATGAAGTATGAAGGATTTTTGCCATAATAGAAAATATGATACAAAAAATACATTTTTATCTTTTTTTTATTACTTAAATTTTTTTAATTTTTTTTAATTTTTTATAATAGTGACTTTTTAAATAATAGCGAATTTCTTAAATTTTTAAATTTTTTATCGTTTTTTTAACAATTTTAAAAAATGAATAACAGCTTGCACAAACAATTGTAATATATTATTTTGAGTTCTCTCTTAAATCCAAATCATTGTACATGTACATATATCACATTCGCTAACCAATTAAAATTAAAGCAGCTGATTAAATGTTTGGCACTAAAAAAATAGGGTAAAAAACCAATACGGGGATGTTGCTTATATTCGGTAACAAATTATATTACATAAGTTAAGTTAAATAGTCGATTCGACTGCGTGATCAAAGCTAGCTCATTGGGCAACTCTTTTGGTATTGTGCAATAAACTAATATAAGCAGAGTACCAGAATTAGTAGGTTGATGACGGGACTGATATCTATTTGTATCATTTTGATTTTCCATGTGCATTCCCGAACAAAGGTTTTTGTTTCCTTATGTTACCTATACCATGGTTTTCCAGTTTATTACTAATGATGGTGTTCTTAATGAGGATCACATAGTTGTGGTTAGTAAATTTTGAGTTGTGGCTAGTTGCGACTTAGTAAAAGACCTGTGACAAATAAGTATCACGGCAGCCAATCAGAAATTGCAGCACCCATTACTATTCATTATGTACGCATTGTGATCGCATTGTGTATACATTCCTAGCGCGTTTCAAACAAAGATTTGCTTTCCTAAAATGACTCCTATGAAATTCTTGACACGTTGTAGTTTTTCCGTATACATTCCGTTCGTTATGTATATGGTTTTTAATTTCTAACACCCGAGCGAGTTCCTTACACATCCCTGACATACATTCCTTGAAGTTCCTGACACATTCGTAATGATTGAGTACTCATAAACTTCCATATGCATAACGTAAGAGCGACAGAAATTATTGAAATTTGATGAATAAAGATGCTTGCAAAGAGTATCCTCACCCCTACGAGAAATTGCGTCCAGGAATTTATCGGGATATT